AAAGACCATAGGTGGCTTGCGCTAAACCAATGTCTTCCGTATGCTCATTCAGCGAGTATTTACGTCGTCATATGCGTTCACTTTATTCGATATCGGCATTTCGAATGATTGACTGTTGTTTGACATCCCAGGTGTGGCTGCACTTGAGGTGCATGTTGACAAGGTGCCTACCTGTCTATTACCCACTACCTCGTCCATACTGGCTCCAGGAGACAGTTGGTCGTTGCTGGAGGGGACGGGGTGCACGGTCCTTGTGGCCGTGCTAGGCTCGAACAGTGGTTCCATACACTCAATGTGGAGCGGACTACGGTCCAGGCACCGCCTTGTGTGCCGTTGCTTCCCCATATACAGCGTGCTTGTGTTTCCCTGTGAAGGAGTGTGGGCCGGCTCCGTTGATGAAACGTGGCTCCCATCCGCATGCCTCCCGGTCTTATTCCCTCGGGTTTACACTGGCTGTGGCTGGCCACAGTGACAGGCAAATCCGAAGCCGGATGCCGCCAACCATATATATATATATATATATATATATATATATATATATATATATACATATATATATATATATATACATATATATATATATATATACATATATATATACATATATATATATATATATATATATATATATATATATATATATATATAGGATGCCTTTGTGCTACACTGTACAAGGGTAAAGGAAGCAAGCAATGTTGCACGAATTATTGTGGCATCAACTTGCTGAGTCGTGTGGGCAAGGTGATTGCCCGAATCCTGCTCAACCGCATCGTCAGTCAGGTTGTGGAACCTAACGTGGCGGAAGAGCAATGTGAATTTGGTTCGGATCGCAGCACTATAGATATGGTGTTTGCGGCTCGTCAGTTGCAGAAGTGCAGAAAACGACACCAGTCATTGTACTCGCTTTTTGTTGATTTCATTAAGGCATTTGATACGGTGAACCGCGAGGCATTGTGGCTGGTGTTGGACAAGTTTGGTTGCCCGCGTAAGTTTGTAAGTTTAATTGAATGTCTGCACAGTGGTGTGCGAGCAAGGGTGCAGCTGAGTGGAGAGACCTCGGATGACTTTGCAGTTGTCTCTGGTGTGAAGCAAGGCTGTGTCTTAGCTCCTGTCCTGTTTAAGATATATCTTCATGCAATGTCCTGTGCTTTGGATGCCGCTTGTGCTTACGGTGTTCGTGTGGAGCACCGTATTGATGGTGGGTTGCTGAACACCCGTCGTTTCGGTGCGAGAACTCTAGTCTGTGAAACAACTATCCGTATGTTGCTGTTTGCTGACGACTCTGCGTTGTTTGCACATAACGCGGATGAGTTGCAGTATATGGCTAGTGCTCTGGCTTCGACAGTGGCCAAATTCGGGCTCACCACCAACATAAGCAAAACTGTCTGTCACTTTCAGCCTTCACCAGAGGTGCACTCTTAAATATTGCCGCGAATCAGCATTGGTGCTGAAGTATTGGAAACCACCTCCCGCTTCTGCTACCTTGGGAGTGTGATGTCGACTGATCAACAGATACACAGTGAGCTTCATATCCGCGTGTCGAAGGCAGCGGCGGCATTCGGGAAGCTTGAGTACCGAGTGTAGAACAACCATCAGCTTAGCATTGGCACGAAGCTGATGGTGTACAAATCCATGGTGCTGTCCGTTCTTCTATACGGCAGTGAAACGTGGACGATGTACCGTCGGGAGGTGCGATATCTCTAGCGGCTCCATCAACAGTGCTTGAGACGGATTTTGCGCATCGGTTGGGACGAGAGTTGCTGACACGGAAGTGTTGCGATAAAGTGGATGTGTGCAGTGGACTGCATACTTTTGCTGAGACAACTGAGGTGGCTCGGTAATGTGTGGCGTACGGATTGAACACGGATACCGAAACAACTCTTAGACGATCAGTTGAGTACTGGGAAGCGGCACGTGGGGAAACCAAAGTTACGTTACCAGGACATGATCAACGTGAGCCTCTCACGTTCGAAGCTTGATTGCAGATCATGGGAATCGAAGGCGGTTTATCGGCGTGCATGGCGCCATCTAATCAGGAAGGTAATTGCCGAAGTGCTGGAGAAAAACCTCATACATGCAGAGAAGAAGCGGCAAGTGCGCAAGCGGAAAGCATCGATGGGTTGTACTCCAACGACATCAAGCGCATGGTGCTGTAGCACATGCGATCGCGAGTGCTTGAGTCAGCCAGGCTTAGTGAGCCAAACGCGACGCCACTCGGGACCACTACCGAAGCGACAACGGGTTCTGCAGAGAAGGTAGGCAGAACCGGCGCAGCGTTTGTAGGTACGCTGCATTCGATTTACTAACCGCGTGCTTGCATGCTAAATCTATTTATTTCAGGTGGTGGGTTTTCAATTTTGTCTTAATGCTTTTCTTTCTCATGTTAAAGCCTACCTGTACGCTCTTCTATGAACTTGCACACCACGCGAATCCAATTGTAGTTAATTTCGATAGCATTTTCATGTTTGTGTCATTTCCGTAAAATATACTTTCTGACCGCGTGAACTTATCTCGGATCCTTTGTTAACAACTTATTTCATATGCTCACGTTTCCTTATGCATTACTCGATTTAATTTCTTGGTTATCTTTCTCTCAAGTGATTGGCTGTTGCTTGATATCCCCGGTGTGGCTGTGCTTGATGTGCATGTTGACAAGGTGCCTACCTGTCTATTACCCACTACCTCGTCCATAATGGCTCTAGGAGACAGTTGGTCGTTACTGGAGGGGACAGGGTGCACGGTTCTTGTGACCGTGTTAGGCTCGAAGAGTGGTTCCATGCACTCAGTGTGGAGCAGACTACGGTCCAGCCACTGTCTTGTGTGTGAGCTTGAGTCCCAACTACAGGGTGCTTGTGTTTGCCTGTGGAGGAGTGTGGGCCGGCTCCGTTGATGAAACGTGGCTCCCATCCCCATGCATCCCAGCCTTATTCCTTCGGGTTTAAACTGGGTATTGGGTGTGTGGTTGCAGCTGTGGGTGGCGCAGCGCAAGCCACCCATGGTCCCTCTGTAGGCGCAGGCCTCCTGTGACTGGCCACAGTGACAGACAAATTCGTAAGCGGATGCCGCCGACTAATTGGTTGGCGGCATCCAGTTTCAGGTACTCACGGCAACAAGGTGAAACATCACACTCGGATGTATTTTAGTAGGCATGCGGATCGCGGTCGTGTTCATAGATATAAGAAAAGCGTTGCACATTTGTAACATAAAGCTGTACAGGGTACGCAAACAAAGTTGGCCGTATCATGCCTTATCAAAACGAGTGTCCGATTGGCACACAATATCAGTCTCGACCAGACGAAAATCGGATGCGCCAAAGCCGGGGGAAAACATACATGAAGATTGGGAAAACCAATACACATGAAAGCAACAACTACGTGCGGTATACGCGCGCGCACTCGCTTTAAGTGACCGGGTACCTACGCCACTGCAAAAGAACTAGTAGCAGGTACACGGATGAGTATGCGTACATAAATATAAGGGAATTATTATGTAACTGAAATATCACCATTCCAACCAGCACTTCTGGAGTGCGGCTGCGGACTGAAATCAGATAACACGTAGCTAAAAGAAAACGGTGACATAAGAGTGACATAAATCCAAATATATATTACAGTGAAGCAGACGTCTCATCTCAGTGATGTATCTTAGTGATATCGTTGTTCAGGTGCACTGATGTCCGGTAAGGCGAGGGGAATTGTATGCACACACATATGTGATGCATTGTTGCTTGCGTGTGCATTGACTTTGCTGCACTGCATATACTGCTTCCGGTGAAATATTTTGTCCGAGTAACGTCCGAAAAATGTCCACTCAGGACACGGATCGGACGGCAATCAAACTCACATCGGTAACTCATCGGACGGCAATCGGTTTCTGGACAGACAACCATGCCGACAGAGATTGCACCAGCACACGCATCAGTTCGATGTTCATTTTGTATTATTACTTCCTAACTAGGTGCCATCTGAGTTGCGTCTGCAATCAGATGGCTATGTATGTTGATGCTGACAGGATACTTTTCACAACATTGCTACAAGCACATTTAGGAAGCACCGTTAGACCTACAGACCACAGTCCGTTTCATTAGGTGCAGACGGCTTTGCCGTTTTTCAACTGGCAGAACTGGTTGCATTCATAGCTGGATTTTGACGGCAGATGTGCTGGCTACACTGCAGTCAGCGTGGCGTGATACCTTATACGTTAATCGGTTGATACATAATATCCCATACCTGTGATGCCCCGATTATGCGCTACTCATCATCATCATCATCATACACGGTAGCTAGAAGTGGGAAACCTCAGCTACTGTGCCGCAAATTATACGGTACTTCTGACTTATGCATGTATATAGCTGGGGCCTTCAGGCATCTGCATGATACAGGGGTGAGACATCGCAAATGAATCAGTGGACCATGACGGCTCATTATTTACACGTAATTTAACACACAAATGTACATCAGTAGCGTCTAAGTAACACGTCAGCGGAGTTGCGTCAGCAGACATGGAGAGGTTAAAACAGTATAGTACCATACTATAACACAAAATAATAAATTCTGGTCCCATTTCAGTTTGACATTCGGGCAGTTGAGTGTAGAAAGATATTATTTGCATTGAGAATGTGTAAAGACTGTCCACAGGAATGATAGAAGGCCAGTGCGGGTTACGGTATGAAGATCGGTTAGCTAACGGGTATGCAATGAAAAGACGCAGGTCATAAAAGCGACGCTCAAAATCATGTAAGGTCTCAGGCCCACCGATCTGTTTGAACCAGCTACCTCAGACAACTTGCGGGGCCATTGCACGAAATTGAAGCATCATAGATCTACGCTGCAGTTAAGGAACAGGTTCGCAAACCGAGTTGTCTGTTTGGAATAAACTTCTGCTCTACTTGCATGCGGAGAGTCATGGATGAGAAGCCAATAAGCCTTTCAGAGAAAATAAAGATAGTGCGTACGAAATGAGGACAAAATGAGAAAAAATTCAGTAATATCCAGACATACCCTTCTGGTGCTTCGCGATTATCAGCTCTGAACTTCTGTCAGGAATACTTTCGGATGCATCTCCCTTATTGGTTGGCAGGAAGACGGGTTCATTATCAATTTTAGAATGAGGAACATCATTTTCTTTAGTCATCTTAACGATCCATCCCACGCCGAAATAAGCGTGTCGAATCCTGTGTCATTTCATGACCAAGTCACGCAGCACAGTAACAACGCGACCTTGGAGAAAGTTCCACGACCTTACTTGCCCACAGCTAATAAACTTGTGAAAAACTTGGGATTCAAAGTGATTCCAGTCGGATGGACGGTCAGTCAAATACCAACAATTTTAAATAATTGTAGACAATTATCCTATGGGACCGAGTACGTCACATTTCACTGAATGACTGCATTGGGGATTAATGGTTGGGTACGCTAACCTTAGTTTGCGTCACGTATAAAGTGAATCATAAATGACTCAAGCAACATTTAGAAACTCCATATTTCTCATTTATACTTAAAACAAAACAGCTGGCCTTGCTTCGTAATAACATGGTTTTAGTTGGATAAGCAGCCTTTTGGCGCACATTGCAATTGTATCTAAGGTGGACAAATCCGTGGTCTTAGAACTCGATTTTTGTTCTTCTTATCATAATTGCCAAAAATTGACGGCTAATTTGCAATGAATTTAGTTAGCGACAGCGTCCTCTTTTGCCGTAGGCTGCCTATATCACTTTTGCATTTGCTTTGAGTTCAATGCATGAGTAGCAACGTTGGTGGCAAGCTGCAAATTCATTTCTGTCACGTAATGTCAAATATCAGGTACATACAAAGCCTGCTTGTGTAATGCGTTGTTTTCGTTTATACACAGCCCCGAAATTAAACAGCTTTTCTTTGCCTTAAATAGCACATTCGTCTCTGTTGACAACGCTAGTTTGTGGCGCTGCGTGTCCACGATATTTGTGCCAATTAAACTCCTTCCGATCGTGTAGTCTCTGTATCGTGGTTCCCGAGGTCTAATGAGGGGCTACGGGAAACGGCCTCCTGAGCTCCCAGGACAAGCGGAGTTTGCTAGGGTTGTTCCGTTTTTCCTTTTCTTTCACTTTGTCAGCATACTGAGCATGAATGACGCCGTACTTTCAGACCCTGCCGGAGTAGTGCTTCTACCAGGTGACCGATTGACAAACCTGGGGTACGCAGATGACATAGCTTTTGTTGGGTCCGACACAGTGGTTATGCATACTCTGCTGGATAGCCTAACGAGTAGTGCGGGCCGCTTTGGCATGTACTTTGCAACTTGGAAATTGTGGTGTTGCTCATCCCAACACTGCCAGTGTTGGGATGAGCAACACTATAATTTCCATTTTACTTACGAGCTTTTTGATCGGAATGACCGAGGTCCACCTCAAGTGAACCGAGGTCTCAATAGAGGTTGTTTATAGCAACCCAACCACCAGCGGTTACTCCAAGTCCAACTTACTTTGCAGCTTCCTAGTGCACAGTACTCGTGCAAGACTAATACGAATTGGCTCCGGTCCTAGCTACCACTGAACAGTCACTGGACGAGGTGGCACAGTTCACTTATTTGGTATCTGTGTCATCTCTGGTGGTCACGACGCTGAAGACGTTACGTTGTGTCTCAACAGGTTTCGTGAGGCGTTTCGGTGACTCAACCGTTTACGGAAACGGTAGGTGTCAGTTTGTCAGTGAAAGGTAGAGTGTATAACGTTGCGGTAAAAGTAGTGTTACTGTATGGATCGGAGTCCTGGCCAATTTGCGGCGAAACCATTAAATGCTAAACGTTAGTCAATGGCGTTGGACAGGCCCCGTCTGCGGTGTGCCCGTGGCCCGGCGTCCTCGGCGTGCATTATACGCCGTGGCTGCATCAAATCGGGCGAAACCGTGAGGTGGCAGTCCATGATGTGGCATATCTGCTTGATGGTTTGACTGCGGGATTTCGTCAATTGGTGCATGTGGTCTATGTGGCTAGCGCCCCTGGGTGGTCCACACCAAGGCTGAGAGACCTCAACAGCCATAGCGCAGCTTCGCGGTCAGTGGCGTTCTTGCACTCAGTTGCTTGCGTCTAGTTGTTAATGACCTTCCATTCTGTTTAGTTAGAAATACTTCCTTCCTGCTTCAAGTCACTCAAATCCTATCTATATTCCACCCACTATCTTTTCATTTTCATTTATTGTCTATATTGCGAAGGTAGCTTTGGCAACTGGACTTACCGCAATATGGTGCTAAGAGCACAGTGGTTGTACTGAACCCAACTGAACTGCTTTCATATCAATAAAGGAACTGTTTTTCCCCGGCAACGTAGTAGTCTGGCAGCTCACCAATGTCATGTCCATCCGGTATCGGTGCCATAGCAGGCCAGTTCCTGGTATACAGTTTCACGCTTACGCATGTTGGGTGACGGAATATAGTACTTGTCTTCCTGTTACAACTCTAATGCACTACCAGGATGCGTGCTACACCCTATCACCACCGTTGGTTGGCAGGTGGCGACGACAAGGGGTGGATTCATGGAACGAAACCAGGGTGCACGTAAACCTAATGGTAAGCTTGTTCTTCTTTGCTCCTGCTTGCTTGTTAACGAGTAGCCACTTCGTAGCCTGTAAAATGCTAACAAGTTACCGGGCACTTTGCTCCTGCACCGATCAGTCTTGCTTGCCGCTGTTTGAAATCCCTTATAAAGACACTGTCTTGGACCACTTTAAGATTATTTTATGGTTCTCCCGGAACACCTATATGCGTTCGTCTCATCTAACTTGCGTCTCATCTGATGTAAGCACATGAATCAAATTAAGTTTACCTGCCACACTGTCATTCTCTGTTTCGGCTTTGTAAACAAAGGGCCCTCCAAACGCTGCCCGCAATGCAGTTAGCATTTGAAAATTGTTCAGCCGTTTAGCACTATTTTGATTAACACTAGCTGATATTCCTTAGGTTGCAAATTCTGATTTACGAATTGTCGGTAGACCCGTGTAAAGTTGCATGCAGACTGGCGTGTGTTACACGTCTTGCTTAGGTTTCACATACACTGAAGTGTTGTAGGTTTCATCCTGCCCTCTTTGCGATACATCCGTCCACCGACGGAAACGCGCCACTATCTGTTGGCACAGTGTTAATGAAGCAGTCTCCTTTGAGACTGCCGGTACCTAATCCAACTACCGACCCATGAACTTCTGCTATGTGTCTGACGTAACCCTGTCTCCAATACATAGTGGAATTGTGTGGAAAAACCGGAAAGAATACAGCTGCCTCCGTGATCGTGACCAACGGGCTATCGGGTCATAATTCCTTTAGGAGGCACTGTGGCTTCACTGGATTCCTTATCCAATCCATTCGGTGTACGATACGAGCAGAACTCCTTTCACACCTTCCTCTAGGCGCCATCAACCAGCTTTCCCTAATAAATGCTTCGAATAAAGTACCGTTGCTTCACCACCTGTTCCACTTAACCCACTAAAGTCCTCACGTTAGAACTTGCACGCTTAGTTGGTAGAGACCGTTAGGAAAGCCGTTGTCTACGTGCTGCCACGGCGGTTCAGTGTGCGGTGCTAGCTATCTGTTACGGGATCAGCGCAACACACGCCTCCGTTGGTTGGAGTTATAAAGCATTAGGTACAGGGACTGCGCAGGTACCTGCTGTGTTATGTGGGTCGCCAGGCAAATGTGCATTGTGGGACATACCGACAACATTACGGCAGCAATGTGCGCATCCACTTGATGAGCCCCGCAGACGGCCGCAACCCATATTTGAGGATACATGACACAAAATCGCCAGTAGGTGGGATACGTTTACGACTGTTGTGACTTTTAACAAACGTCAAACAGTGCAAAAAAGAACTACGCGGCCTCTGATAAGCTGCCCACAAGAGCTGTTTTCCGCATCTCCCGTGCATGTGGTACCTCAATTTTACCCATGGGCTGTTTTCCGTTAGGTATGCGTTTATTAGTAGTCAATAACCTAGCCACACATGCGCGCTTGCCACTTGGCCACAGATGTCAACCGCCAGCTGCTGTGAGGAGGCAAAACATTTGCCGTCCGTTGCTGCAATTTAACCACAACGTTAATCTATGATGCCATTTGCTGAAACTGACAACACGGTTTAGCCAGCTTGAATGCCGTAAAATACGGTTTTTCCTCCGCGACTGCCAGCCAAGGAACGCCATCACTAGGTACGTCGTTTCTGCTCCCAGTCCGGCGATATATAAAAAGCCAGTTGCTGATAGGCTGTCTCAACTACATCTCACTTTATGAATTGTTAGCCAGGGGCTAGCAAACGATATCACACGGTGTCTTGCTAAAACCCAAACCAATGGATTTATGGATGTACACGTTAATACGCGTGCTGTCACGCTATTCCACGAAAGTCTCTGGTAAGTGCATTAAATCGCTTTCACTTTATCATACAATTCATTGTTCGCAACCATTTCTATCCCACGTGACTTGTTAAGCACTGCCTGTTTACCTGTAATAAACCCTTGTTCAATTGTTCCAACCTCCGATTTGTTTCAAAGGGCTGCAGAGATGCGGTTTTGTTACCAACAAAAATGATATAAGGATGGCAACTAAAGCGCGAACTTCCTGCTGAGCAGCGCCATCTATCACCGGCAACCAACCGGAACACACAACCTCGACGGGTATTAGTGGCTGAGAGATGGTGTTCCTTCTTGAAGGTAAGAAATGCTTTGAAATATACGATGGCAGAACCACCTTTTAACTTTCACGTTCGCACTCGCCCCTTGCTGCAGGATAAGTGGAATTATGGGAAACGAATCCCGTGCTATAGTCAAGCATATCCAGCTATACTGTGCGACGAATTGATCCGTGGTTGCCTGGCCGAACAGCGTCCACATATTACCAGCTGGGTAGTTCGACTGTAACCGGTTGCAGCAAATAGTTCGGAGGCAGTATTCCAGAAAGTGGTAGGGTTTCGCCCGGCAAGAGGTCACCCTGTAAAAAGCCACAAATATCCGTTTATCAACCCTGTAAAGTAGCGTAGATGACACTCCACAAACTAAAGCCAATGCTCCGCTGGTCCATGGATGATGAAATCAAATCCACGGACTTCAGGCAGCTATTCTTGCATAGTCGGCGCTTTCAAACAGCCACAAATACAACGGTAAACTTGAAAACACGCGCTACAAAGCTACACATGTGCACATTACATACGCCACCGTGCTAACATTCACTGTTACGACAAGCGTTTTGTATGCTAGTACATTTGTGTTAACACTCTTTTTGTCACAACATGAGCATGTCTGTAAAGTTGTGCCTCGATTTGCGTTGGATAAACAGTTAGCTTATTTATCTCCGATAGCTGGTCGCTCAAGTCGCACAATTAAGATTTAATGCGTTGGAAGCACCCAAAGATACCGCAGCTTTTAGGTTCCTTCGGCCGAATTGTGCTGACTTCATTCCCCTTCCAGACCTACAGATATTCCAACGGAATGTTGCCAGCTGTTGAGCAATAGCAGTTTAGTCGTAAAATGAACTGTG